CAAGTCCTACTATATTCTGCTTTGGTCAGACTCCACCTTGAGTACAAGGTCCAGTTCTACACTTTAAGAAAGATGGTGCAATATGTCATGTGTTGTTGTTCATCTGAGGTTGAATTTACCTACTTTTGAGATGATTTTTAGTATGTCCTGATATGTAAAACCATAGAACTCAAAGAGAGTATACTTTCTTTTTCACACTACTGTGTGTGGGTCTACACATACCAGCAAGAAAAAGAGCAGAAACAGACAACTTTTGATGGCTGATATCACTTTATCAAATATGTAGAGTATTCCTGGAGATTTTGGAAGAATCTGGTTTTTTTTAATCTTAGTGATATAAATTTCATTAGAAGGTTTACATACCATATTATCTTTGTGATTTGATCATTTATCTCTGAATTTTGGTAGATTCATCTGGGGCGGAGGGGGTACACAACAAAGAGGTTTAAGGGCTGCATGTGACCCAAAGGTTATGGTTTGTAGTCCACTGTTTTTAGAGTGTAAAGTAGGAATGCTGACCTGAATCTGTGAATGAAGTTGAGGGTTATTAGATGCAAAGTCCTAAGATGGAAGGTGAGACATTGGTGTGAAGATAACTGGTCAGTGGTTTGTTTTTGACATCTGTGTTTAGGATGCTCTATCCCAGATGATCAGCATGTGGTCCTCTTAATTTAATTTAAATTATAATGTGTGCTGCCATCATGTGAACATGTGCCCCTGAAAAAAAAAATTCAAGAGGATAGATGAGGACTTTGTACAGCACTAATTGGATCACAGGTTTGACATTAACTATTTCACTCTTGTGGGTAGGAATAGTATGTAATGGATCAGGAAGTTTATCGTTCTGCTGATTAGTTGGTATATGAGATGTAGGTTGGAGCAGGACAAATAGTTTTCTTTCAAGGAAAAACACTGCATCTTTTAAAACTGCCCCACGACTCCCTCCTCTGCAAACATTTTTGTGCATTTTGGGGAACTCTGGCTGTCCAGTTTAATTATTTCACTGTAAGACTGGGCAAAGAAGACCCAGCTGGAGGTAGAAGCTTTGTTGGAGCACTTTCCCATTTCTAATCTTGGGAGACTGAACTCCACCTGGCCTCTCTTGTCACTGAACAATGCATTTTGACTGTGGATGTGGCCAAAGGCTCTTTGAATTAAGTCGATTGCTGTTCTTAAGATTTTTATCCAGGCTCTACTCATCAGCACTGAGGAGCTGCGTTTAGACAAGTGGCAAGTAATGAGAACAGCCGTGAAGTGCAGGTTGCTGGAGGGTCTAATTACACCTCTAGTTATGCTGCTTTTTCCTCACTTCCTTTCTCCCATCAAGATGATGATTAGCCCTATTTATAGGGGCACTGGTTTTTACTATTCAATGCAGTGCACCTTGTGCCAATCAAATCAGTGCCATCTGCATTTTTGATTACTGCTTAATAACACCACTGAACATAGTTTAATTAAAGTAGGATATAAATAGGCTTTCTCTCTCTCTTCTTCATCTGACTTACCTGGGTATCTGGTGCTGCCTTGCTTAGTCAAAATAAATACAAATTGAAAGTCGCTTGCCTTGGAGACCGGCACATCCTCACCGTGGAGATCTGCTAAATCAGAGCCTATTCTGCTCTCTTTTGCAAGATTATCTGATTTCTGTTCAAAACCCCAATGCATAATGCTTTTCTCAGTGGACACGAATCTATATAGAAGGGGCCATTTATCTATAAGGCAACACAGGTAGGATTTGGTAGAATAACAATATTGTGTCAGAAGCTAATATGAAACTGGCTGGAGTGTTCGAAGAAACAAAAGTTATGTTCATGTTTTTAAGCAAAGAAAAAAAAAGACAGAAAATTCAGATAACTTACAGGTATACTATATCCCTTGGCAGTGTTTGAGTTTGGATTGTCCATAACTTTGTTTATAGACAAGACAAGAAGTCCGTAACTTCTTGTCAAATGTGGTAAAATCCAAAGTCTTTTCTAGTTTACTACATTTTCAGAATTTGGAGGATCTAAATCACTAGTCTTGTTTTGGATTCTATAGAAATGTATCTTAATAGCATCTACTAATGAAAATAAATCTAATAAAACATTTCCCTTAGAACTCTGCTACTAGAAGAGCAGAATACTAGGCTTTGCACAGGGAGTGGTAAGCCACAGAACATGACTTAGAAAATCAAACAAGTATATTAAACCTTATTTGTAATTGTAAAGTTTTGTAAAATTAGATGTTATCAATATGTTTTAGTATTATTTTCCATTAAATATGTGTTGTCAATTTAAGGAAGTTGTTTTATGGGGACAGAGAATCTGTGACTGTCCCAAGATTGCTAAATGGCAACTCTCAGTATCCCTCAGAGCTGATTAGGCTATCAGGTGGGAATTGTATTTCTGTAACCTCTGGAGAACCATAGGCTCCTTCATCCCTGTGTCTTATGCTTAACTAATGTCACCTCTCTAAGTAAAGCTTGTATGCTTACCCCAAACTTCAACCTAGTTAGTTCTCCTAGAATAACAGAGCACAGTGCTGTCCTGCCAGTATTAGCTCGGTCCCTCTGAGCTCATGCATTAGATGTTCTGATTGAATGTATAAGATAAGTCTGACTATAGACTCACAGTGACAGTGGGCTGCCTGTGGATTGGGATATTTGCAGCAGGATGATGAGCATCTTCACTTCTGGGACCCCCAACATGGGTAACATAGTTACCTTGTGCTTGAGCCAGTATTAGTTTATTAAATAAATAAATGAATTCCTCAGGATCAGCTATCAAAATTTGGTGGCAAGTTGCTAATTTTTGGCAATGTGGTTTCTGTTTATGTAATAAAGTAAGCAATTGTGTATAATTTCCCTAATCCCTCTCCAGAGAAGCCTACAAAGAACCAAACATCTGACTCCCAGCTCCTTCTGGGGTGCCAGTGTCTCATCACCACATAATCTGAATCCACTGGATTCTTCTTTTTTTCTTTTTCCAAGTGCATCCAAGCTCTTCAAGATGCTCCATAAGAAATTATATTTTCTTTCGTGAAAATGCCATCGTTGCCACCATAATGAGCTTACAATAAATACTACTTCCTATAACACATTCTTATTTGTTTGTGGCTCCCTTTCTGGACAAGGGCTTCTGTGTTTTGTATGCTTTCATTGTGTCATAGCATGTTAGCACATTATAACAATGTGTAGCACGAGCTTTGCAGAGAATCACTACAGAATTTTAAACAATAATAGTATTCTAAGTATTTCTGAATCATCTAAGCTAGTCAGACTGATTAAAAAAATTGCATAGTGGTTGTCATTTGGTTTATTTATACATCACTTCTCCTTTTAGATATTTGTCCAACTTAGAGATATAAATGCAGATTTACAAATGGAAGCTCTGCTGAAATGGCAGACTGAATCAGTGGATGACCACATGGCCTATGCAAGATCTCCAGATTTTGTCTATGAGATCCCAAATTTAATGAAAAGTTAAGGGTATTTTTTTAATATAGTGGCCCAAAATATTGCAAAATTACCAAATCTTAAGAGATTTTGGTGTTCTCTGCTGACACGTTTATGTAACACACACACAGTGCTTAAGCCTTGGAACTGTGTAGTAGTGCCTAGCACCTGAAAAGATAACCAGCTCAGGATACTTGCAGAGAGTGAGCAGATCTTTCCTGCCTCACTTTTCTCTACAAAATGTGAAATAAGCTGTGAACATATAAAATGTTCACAAAATCTGGCCTGGGTATGCAGAAACTGGAACTCTTGAGTAGTCAGAATCCCCACTCATACAATTTGAACCTGTGAATTGATATTTGGTATCAGTATTTGCGCATGTGTTGAGGATTGCCAATAGGCTTGATCCTGCTCCCTCTTTCTTTAAGGTTAAGCAAATGTTCCTCTGGCACTTTCAGGAACTTTTCTAACTGAGGAAGGCCCTCTGCAGCTACATTTCCTATTGAAGGAACTTCTCAAGTTCTTCTTGCTTTTTCCTCATGAAATAGCTATCCTTCCTTTTTCACTGCTCACTGGGAAACAAGGTGGAGTTTGTTCAAAATAGATCATTGGTCACCTTCTGCTTGGTCTACTTCCATCACAATAGAAATAAAGAGCCCTTTGGGCAAATTGTGATATTAATTTTGAACCTAGGCATTCAGGGAAACATAGTCTGTTCTTTTTCTCCTTGGGTAGTTTTGTTTCATCAGTTTGAACTGATCCACTGCATTCCCAGCTTATTTTGATGATGGAGCTGCCAACTCCTGTGACTCCACTGTAGTCCAAAAAACAAAAATAAATTATCAGGGAACATAGTACTGCGGGCTTCTCCAGTCTAGTGCTCACACAATTCCTTGTTAAGATGCCTACAGACTATGATATCTTGAGATTATGAAACTCATCTGGAGGCATCAGGCTGGAGAAAAGGTTTGTAACGAAGGCATAAACTCATTTGTTTCCTTTTACCTTTAAATATGTGTTTCCAGAGGAGTAGAGTTGAATGTTAGAGGTTGGAAATCACCTGTGCTCTCCCCAGATCTTCTATGGTAGCACCTTTTGCCCAAATCCTGGTCCTGCAGGAGAGGAGCTCTAGTTCCAACTAACAGAATCAGAATTGTGTGATTCTGATGTGGTACCGATAATGCTATATTTTACTTGATGCGAAGAAGCCAAGAATGAAGAAACTTACATGCACAAATCATGTTTTTCAGTGTAACATAACAGAAATAGGTCTTACAGTCTTTGGTGTTGGCATGGGTAGTAGTTACCAGTAATCTGAGAAATCACTTGTGGATAATTTAGGAATAATCCCAGGTGGGCAGTGTGTGGCCCTTCAGATTGAACTGTATGAGATTGATGGGAGTTGTTCAACATCTGGAGAAGCATACTTTGTCTCTGTTCTAGAGGTACCCAGTTTAGAAGTTTTCTTGCTGCAAATACCTGGTAGAACAATCTGAGTTCCCTTCCAATTTAAAAATGAGAGAAATGTGAGTTCTTGAAATCAAATAGTCTGTTGGTTTCTTTGCAGGCCAAGATGTCCACTATGACCCAGAAGTATTTCCTGGAAGGTCAGACGTACTCTGTTCCCCTCATCCAGCCTGACCTCCGCAGGGAAGAAGCTATTCATCAGATAGCAGATACACTTCAGTATCTGCAAAAAATCTCAGGTGATATCTTCAACAGGTATGGTTTGTTCATATTAGAACCTTGGAAGGAGAAAACTGATGTATGCATGTATTTTAATAATGGTTCAGGATATGGAGAAAGCTGCATAGTCAGTTGATCTGGTTTTATCTTGTTTCCAGTAGTAGATCAGTGCTTTCTGTGAGTTCTCATTTGTCAAAGTACAAGAATCTTGAAGGAATTCTCATGGGTGTTGTTGGTAGGAGTGTAATTTTCCAAATATAGCTGAGTTTGGAAAGAGGGATGTAATTTAGATTTGATATATGCTTTGTTAGTATTGGGGGAGGTTTAACCATTAATTTAGGGCAGTGTTAAGCTATGATATATTACTGTTGCACTGGCAGCTACTGGGTGGTTTATTGTCATACTGTGTCTACATCTGCATGCAAACCACAGTTGCAACCTTGGGGCTGGAAAGATTCGGAAAGGGACAGCCAGTGTGACTAGTAAGATGGAAACCCTCCCCTACATGGAAAGATTACAGCATTTGTGGTTTTTGAACTTAGAGCCAAGGTTGGATAAGCAGATATATAGCAGAGATAAAATCATGCATGGCAATGAAACTATGAACAAAGAACGTGAGGTCCTCGGTTGAAACTAAATGAATTTCATTCTAAATTCTATTGAAACTAAATGAGAGGAACTTCAGGAGCCATTAGAATCAATTACCTTCCAATGGGATTTATATAAATAAAAATTAACATACCCCCCAATTCTCCCAGTCTATTTGCTTATGAAAAGTTATGTCATCTCTCCAACTTCTTTTAAAAGTGCATCAGTCACCAAAAAGTTGCCTGCCTCTAATCTAGAACCAAGAATTTTCCTGTTGGTGCATGTAGACCCAAATGTATACTTAGTTTCTTTATGGATCAAGGTAGATTAGAAAAAGAAAGTTTCAAACTCCTGCTCCATTTAATGCCAATGACTGGAGTGTCCTATCAGACTGCCCTGGTAGGACCCTTTGCTGTGGTGTGCCACAGGCCTTGATTCTCTTGCCTCTCCTAGTTAATATCTACATGAAACCACTGGGGAGTGCGGTGTCAGGTGTCATCAGTATGCCAGTGCTCAGCTTGACTTCAGGGTGAACAGTAGATAGAGTCAAGGTGCTGTTAGGGTTTGGAACAGGCTCAGTCACAGCAAGAAGGAATGGCTATGGGTTCAGAAGCAATACGGGGCCAATAATATTCCATCTTGGATATTAATGTTAAACTGCTTTGTAATCTGGGAGCCCTCATGGATTTACAGTTGCTGTTCAAGGAGGAGATGATAACTGTGGCAGGGAGGGCCTTTGCACAGCTCCATCTTGTGTTTTGGCTATGTGTATTTTTGCATCAAGAGACTTTTCAAGTCACTCATGCCATGGTCTCCTCTTAGATGGACTACTGCAGTACTTGGTACATGGGGCTCCCCTTGAAGACCACTTAGAAGTTATAGCTGGTTTAGAATACGGTGGGCTTAGTTATTAAAGACACTTCTCATTCCGTCAGCATAACAGTGCTATTTCAAAAGCTGGACTAGAGTGACTAGGTAACTTCAAGAAGCAGGTTGTCACCTTTACAGCCCCTCATGACCTAGGTTTCTATAAAACTGCCTATACCCAGTGTCATCTGCTGACAAGATCTGGACAGGAGGGCTTCCTCTGGGAGTGTTACTATCAAGGACCAATGGAGTGGGCCTTCTCTTTCATTGCCCCCTTTTTTGTGGGACAATCCTGCTAAGGTTTCAGAAAGCCCTTAAGACCTGCCTATTGCAAAGGGCCTTGGGTTGTTGGCATGAGTATGAATCCTTCCTGCAGTGGTTCTCTTGTTTTGATAGTTGGTTTTGTTGTCCCTTGGAACTGTATTTGGTGAGATTAGGTTATTTTGTTACATTTACTGATTTTAATCCTATTACTAGAAGTAGGAGTGTAAGTCCACTTACACTCAGAATCATATACAGTTGGAGTGGCATGTAAACTTTATTGATAAATAATTATAAAACATAGTTTTCTAGGTGGCTTTTACATTTTTTAAATATTATCCCCTTTTTTTTCCTCCTTAAAAACATTCAAAGTGTTTGATGTTGGAGGTAAATAAACCTTGCAGGTATGTTTCCGCAACATTCAGGAGAGAGTGAATGGACTTTTAGAATGTTCTCCTTACTTGGGGAAGTTGGCCCATAAAATGCCAAAATGCAAAAGATTTAAAATTACAGGAAATGATGATTATGATATCCCAATATACAGATAAGATCAGCCTTCTAGTTAATGCCTCCTCGGGGCATGTAGCATTTAATTCTGTGGCCCAGAAGTAAATGTGAGTGCAGATTGTAAATACTCTTCTTCTATATACAATAATAATATGTAAACGTCTTATTAAATAACACCTTCCCAATTGTTAATAATTCTAACTGCTATTGTGACCAGGAGGTTGCTCCCCTTCTCCAGGGTGACCACCCTTCAGAAATCTCTAAGAAGGTTGCAAAACTCTTATCAATAGATATAACTGTTAGAACTCGTCTGGTTCCTCCTCCATTCTATCTTAGCTGCTAAATGCTTTAGGATTTTCTTGCCAATTTTAATTTTTGTTATAGTTATTGTATTATATGCTGGTCTTTTATTGTGTTTGGTCTTGGACCATAAATACAATTTTGATTTGATTGATAAATAATACCAAGCTGTTGACTTAAGGGGACCTCTAGACCTGAGAAGTGGTCCATTCTGTGTGTTCATTAGAGAACTGAATCAAGAAGAGATTCTTGATAGGTAGGGCTTGCAGTGGCAGCTGATCTCTAAGGCACCTTTCCTAAAATTTTCATATTCTTTATCATTATCTGTCTGTCTGTCTGTCTGTCTGTCTG